CGTGTCCTCTATCTTCACTACGACCTCAGTCATGTACGCGCCACGCACATACAAAACTGCAAAGGAAAGACTAGAATACAAGCCAGAAACTGATCGATGAAAAGTGGAAGTGGTTCAGGGAGTGACAAACTTTGTAAAGAAAGAGCCAGTGAAGAGGGAGAGTTGGAAGGAAAAAAAATTCAAATATGGTGAAGGGGTATGGTAGCATTAAGACTGGAGAATTAGCGCAAGCTGGTTGCATCTTCCCCAGTTACTCGCCCGTTTTTGTTTTTTTTTTCCGATTTAACTGTGTTAATGATGAATGCTGTTTCCTTTTAAATTCTAAGCGCTTTCAGGGCAGAACTATATTGTCTAATTATGATTACAGTAACTTGACAACAGGTATAGTGACTCAGGCCTGTAATCCCAGCCACTTCGTTTTAAGGCAAGAGGATCACAAGATGGAGCCCAGCCTGAGTAACATAGTGTGGCCGTCTCAAAATATAAGAGAGTTGAGGATACAGCTCAGCCAGTGGTCAAGGGCTTGTCTAGGACATACCAGGCCATTCCTCAGTGTTGGAAAAAAGTCACTTTGCTGTTCATCTTTAGTGTAGTTTCAGAGAAACCTAACAATCTGATGCAAGTCGCTGTGCTTACAAATCCTATTTTCTTAATATTTTCTCTTCTTTTTTTGCAATTTAGAATTTGACCTTTGTGGTAGGCCTTAATCACTGATAATTTTTCCCCCTTGCCCAATAAATACTTGTTAAATGAATGAAGTTGGATGATTTCAGTAAACATATAGGTCTTTTTTTTTTGTTTTGTTTTTTGGTTTTTCGAGACAGGGTTTTTCTGTGTAGCCCTGGCTGTCCTGGAACTCACTCTGTAGACCAGGCTAGCCTCGAACTCAGAATTCCACCTGTCTCTGCCTCCCAAGTCCTGGGATTGAAGGCATGCGCCACCACCGCCCGGTGCGGTCAATTTTATTATTTTACTTTTTAAGTAGATAAGGCTTAAATCATCTATTGTCAGTCTTAGTGTTTATACTTTCTCGGGATAACTGAACTCATGGGTTTCTTTTCTTTAAATTGGAATTTTTAATTTTTAAACTACATTTGTATATATATGTATATGGCTATACCAAGGAATGCATGTAGTCACAGGACCATTTGCAGTAGTCCCTTTTATCGTTAAACTATGTGGGTTCTGGGGATTGAATTCAGGTCATTAGGCTTGGTGGCAAGCACCTTTTACTTGCTGAGCCATCTTGCTAGCCCAAGATGTAGGTACATTTTAGGGTTTTGCTTGGTGTGATGTTACATGACTTTAATCCCAGCACTAGATTTCTGTCAGTTTGAAGCCAGCCAGGCCTACACATTAAATTCTAGTCCAACCAGAGCTACTTTTTATTTTTTCCTGCGACAAGGTTTCCCTGTGTGGTCCCAAGTGTCCTCAAACTCAGAGATCTTCCTACCTCTCTCTGCCTCCCAAGTGCTGGGATTAATTTGACCATTCTTTTAGAAAAAAAAAAAATTAAGAATTTTGCTGAATGTGAAAAGGGACTAATTTTTGGGTTTAATTTTTTCAACGGGAATGGGTTGTACCCCTTCAGCACTCTGAATCCTCACCACAGCTAGTGAGCTATGTCTAAGCTAATAAAGCCTACTTTACCATAGCAACGTGGTCACTCTGTCCTCTGCTGTTGGAATTCCATGAAGACACAGTCTAAGGTCCAGCTCGGATGTGCTGGCTCACACACTATCATCGTCCTCGTGTGGTGCTGTATGAAATGCAGTTAGGTGGGGGTCACGAACTCTTCCAGATGAGAAACTTGAGGCACTGACCAATTCGTTCCCCAGTGAGGATGAATGACCCTAGGAATGTGACACTTCAGACTTGAGAAGGCTGAAACCTACGTTCCCCTCAGGCCCGTGGCCTGTAGTATGAAAACCACAAAGGCACTTTAGTAATGGAGTAGCGGAGCTGGTGTTTGCTTTAGTGGCTGTGCTTATAGTTCTTTTAGCAGCACAGCTTAGACCAAGTACTTACTTAATGCACCCATTTATGTATATGTACATACACATGTGTGCATGTGTGGGGTTTGAGACGGTCTGTGTAGCCCTGGTTGGCCTAAAATTTACTATGTAGACCAGGCTGACTTTGAATTTGGCTTTTATTCATATATTAGGCATAAGTGTGCTTCTGAATGGAAATATACAAATTTTGATTTAAGAAATAAGGATTCTAGAATCACACTGAACTACAAAAAATAAGTTATCGTAACTGGCCTCACAGAATGTTAGTGTAAAGTACAGGTATAACGCTTAGGTAATTAATGCCAGGGCTGGCTACTATTTTAAAATTTATTACTTTTTATGTTTATTTTGTATGTGTGTAGGTAGGTAGAGGTGGGTCTGAGTGCCAGTGTGCAGGTCAGAGGGCAGCTTATGAGAATCAGTTCTCTCCAGCCTTTTATCATGTGGGTTCTGAGGATCGAGCTCAGGTTCTCCGGCTTGACAGCAAGCCCCCTTACATCCTGAGTCATATTGCTGGATTCTGGCTGCAACTATTTAAAACACAAGAGTACAGTGCAGAACCTCCTGTCCAGAGATGATTAAGGGGAAACATTTCCCAGAAGGCAAATACTAGGAGTGCTCTGAACATGGGCCTCAGGTGACACGGGCTTACGCCAGGCAGGTGGCATGTTCTCATGTTAATGATTAATGCTGTAGGGGCCCTCTTTCTTTTGGAAAAAGCATTTAACCCTAAAGTAACTGCCTAAGAAAGAATGTGACAGATACTTAAGGCACACTGGTGGGCATCATTGCAGAATATACATCTTTTAAAAAGCACTGGAACCCAAGTCTTTGTCACTGAAGACATAGAGGTGGGATTTGGAATGAAAACCCTCCCTTTGGATTGGATGTCTTTTGATAGCGTTACTAAATAGTTTAAATGATTTAAATAAATCACTTTTTTTCCCTTTACAGAAAGAACAAAGGTTTTTGAGTCACACCTTTCTCTTCTAGCTGACACTAAAATCCACTTGTGACTTGAGCATTTCCAACTTTCAACAGTATAGAAAGAAGATGCTTCCCCTGAATTATCTCATTAAATACCCGCCAGGAGTCTTGGAATGAGTACAATCACAGCCTGTTCTTATAATGAAAACCAGAGGGGTTATTCTCAGTTAGCAGCAGACAGCCCAATCTGGACCCAGGACCATGACCCCTAATGTGTATGCCCTACGGGTAAGGTGACTGCTGAAGTGATTTCCCTGCTGTGGTCTTCAGCCACTTCAAAGGCTGCTAAGATTTCAGTGAGGATAAAGTATGGTAAATCTTAGGTGGGTAACATCATCAAGACTAGCAAACCCATCCACTGGTTATTTTGAGGCACACAACTTCCCCCTCCCCGACAAGTGCCAGCTACCCTCTGACCTCTCAGTTGAACAGGTCCATCTTTATTGGGGATGAGTATGTTAAAACAGACCTAGAAGCCCAGTGTTGAGATGGTCATGAGTGGCATAGGAAAGAGGTTGCCCCGGACTTGAGGTCCTATAGAAATCTCAAGTGTTTGGAAAAGGCTTAGCACCCTTGTGGCAGACATGAGCCGCCATCCTGTTGGTCTTCCTTAATAGTCCCACTCTGTAGCAGACATGTAAACAGGCTTGTGGGCCTCCTGGTACAAGATGAAGACTTCCTCAGGCAGAGACTTAGTCTTCCAACCACAGTCCCAGGAGCTTCAGTGTCACTTGACTGACAGCAGAGGACTCTGCCCTCCAATGCAGTGTCGGCATTAGAACTCCATACTTCCACCCCTGTGCTGAAAACGTGCCAGCTGATCAGCTCTCTTTATCCTTTGAATTCTCAGATAATCTGATTTACAAATGCTCAAACCTGGAAGGTTCTAGCAGCTGTAGTCTGCCTGGCTCTAAAACAGAAAACTGTGGGATTTTAACATTCTCAATAGCTTTTGTTCACTGTTGTGCAGGCAGGGATATATTGATTTTTCTAGTCCATTAACCCTGCCCAGGGTTGCCTGTAATGCCCAATAGGAATCAGCCTGCCTAAGTGGTGATGCAGTGGTTTTCTTTTTTATCACAACACTAGCAGCACTTCAACACTGGCTTCCTTTGCTTTAAGGACTGGGACTGGGATGCCAAGGAAAGGTTGGAATGGCTTAGGTGCTTTCATTGCATCAGAAGGCAAAGCTACCTAATAAAAACCTTACAACTGTGGATGCTTCTGTCTCCCAACACTCCCAACTCCATCCTTTGTAAAGCCAGAAGGATGCTTCCACTTCGCCCTTCCCATAATCCCTAAAATCATGCAGACAGTCAAGCTGGTCTTTTGGGTGCCCCAGTCTTTTCCTGATGTCTTTTCGAAGAAAGCATTTCCTCCTTAGATGGACAAGCTGATACTGCTTCAGGATGGAATTCTCACCCTTTCTAGGTCTTCTTCATTTCCCATTCCTAAAGCACAGAAAGATAAGAAAATCAGTGTGTTGAGGGTTCTAGTGGGACTGTAGGTTGGAACATTCTGAA